GTTGAACATGCATAACAGATAGTCATTAATGAGGAAAGAATTATCATGTTTTTGGACACTTTTTGAAGTGGTCGTATTTGGAAAAAATAATATTGAAAAGATAGTTAAACATAACGGCATTGTACGGATATAAGTATATTTCCATTACGTATCAAGCTACAGAGTGTATTTTACAAAGGTGCAAATACTTGTATTCAAGTGCACTCTCTAATTTTCATCATTTCATTCCGCAAAACCTTTAAAGCTATTTATATTTAAATTATATTGCTATGATTTTATAAAAATAAAGAAAATAGAGAGTTCAGTCTGAAAAAAAAATCAGCAGACAGAATGAGCCTGAAGGGACGAGACGAAAACCTAGGGACTTCTGAAAAAGAACGAAAGTGGTTTGAATTGACCTGGTGGAGTGGGCATGTCGATCGGCCAAGACCCACCATCGCCCCTTTATATTGAAATCAAGTAAAATTACGTAAAAAAGGCAATATTTTAACTATTCGACTGAAACATATTAATTAGGAATACGAACCAATGATAGGTTGTCTTAGTAGTGATAAGTTCATTAAAACAAGCAAAGAAATTTTACTTTGCGGACTTTTAATGAGATTGTTTAAGTCCGACAATATCAACTTTTACTAATTAAACAGAACCAGCTTTGATTAAAAAAGTTTATATTGATCAGGTCTAGTTCAAAAATACATGTATATGCAAGTGAGTTTTTTTTTCAGCATTCTCAACTCATTTTTTGCATTTTTTCCCATAACAACAAAAATTCTCTTTAATGAAATTTAAAAAAAAAACTGTTGTTGATTTTATGTACTATTTTCCTGTTATACTAAATCCAGATAGTCATTTTCCTGGCTGGATGATGCAGCAATGATTTTCTCTTTTCCCCATTTCTTCTGTCCAGCATCATTACATGTTACATATAGAGCTGATTCATTATCATGGTTAGGCTGATCATATAATTGTGGTACATGTAGGAACAAGTCTTCAATATAATTCAGCGAAACTTGATTGGTCTGCCTAGGACACAGAAGAAAATATAATTTCATTATTATTCGAAATTGTTAAATTCTTACAAAAAAAAAAATAAATAAATAAAAGAACTGTGTAAATTATTGGTTATGTACTTATTCTGTACTATATTTATCTAATTGAAAGCTGTTTAAGACGCATATAGATTTAGGGACAGATGATACAAACAAACATAAAAAAGCCTGAAAATAACAACTTCAGCGATGTTTACATTTGTAAAAGGAGTAAGTGTAAACACATAGATTTTCAATCAAGTATTGCTAAAAATGGACTTAATATGGCAAAAATTGTTTAGATTAATAAGGATTGTTGTAGATAGGTGGCATATTGAAATTCATAGAAAGGATATAATTTCCTAATATTTTAGAAACGTATTATTCTAAAATCAATTACAATTAAAATAGACCAAAAATAGATACGAATCCAGGTATCAATTTCTTGTTCAAATCATCTGCCTCTAAGGGGTTCGATCCTGAGCTTTTAGCAGAGTTTGGTCTAGACCGGTATCTTTATTTCTAAGATTCTGCCTATTTTTCAATTCTAACATTATATATTGATTCTACAATGCAGATTAAAGTATATATAGTGTTAAAACCGCGATTAAATTCCATTCAAATAGGACTGAGTCAAAAACTATATTTTGTTGCATAAAGTTTTTTTGGAAGAAAATAATCAATGCTTTCCCAATGTTTTGAATTTTGAAATCCATACAGAACTGTTGGTTTACGAATCTTTATTTTCCATGCTGGTTGCACACAGAGCTGTTTTGTTGTTGTTGTTGATGTTTTTATGCCCCCATAAACGAAGTTTCGGGGGTATATAGTTTTGCTTATGTCGTGTCTGTCTCTCTGTTTGTCCGCAAAAACTTTGATCTTGCGCATAACTTTTGATTTAGTGGCGTTATGACTTTCATATTTCACTAATAGTTCATTTTATATCCTGGTTTATTTGTATAAATATACATTGAAAAAAATTGGGTTTCAGCATAATGTATAACCTAAAAAAATATATAATGAATCCCAACCTTTGATGTGTATCTTTGCAAATGTTTAAAGACACAATTTCTGTACAAATAATTGATAATGCAAAGCAATTTGATTTTTTTTATATCTGGTTTATTTGTATAAAAACATTGGAGGGAAACGTGGAAGTTGTGATCCAGTTTTTGTTTTGATTTTTTTCTCAAGCTATGTGTGTAAAAACTAAAATGTACTTGACAAAAAGAAGTTTAAGCTTTAAAAAAAATAGGATCCAACCTCGTTATATAGACTATTATAAACCCGAATTATATCCGCTTTTACGTGCACCAGCTGCGAACTTAACAGCATATTGATCCTGACATTTGACAAGTAATAGAGCATACTTGTATATACGAAAACAATATAATACCTCTTACAGAAGAAGACTTGAATGAGCACCAAGATTGAGCACACACTAAACATCAATCCAAACACAACAGGCAGGATTTTTGCAACGTAGTTGTGATTCGTTTCATTCCTTTTAATTTCTATAAAAAATTCAAAATAAGATTCCATCAATATCGTACAAACTGAAATTTGAACACATATTAAATTATATTAATTAATATGAAATTACACTGACAGAATTAAAAAAAATCAATTTTGTCACATGAATTCAGACTCCGTGTTGTCTTTTGATCACTGAAATATATCAAACCTAATAAGGAAAAACAACCTGTAATTTTGTCCCATTTTGACAAACCTATATGATACTGATTGAAAGGCCTTTGATTTATACTCAGTTTGACTACGAGGCCTTCGTTTATCACTGACAAAAGACACAAGACGGTGTAACGGAAAAATATGCGTCCTCCTTCCAAACCCATCTCGTTTTATACGGTCTTTGGTTTTGCTATGTTTACACTTTGCTGAGTATTTAATTTATATGTTTAATGAGATGATTATAATTCCTTATCTTTTTCCTTACCATTTCTTTGGCTTTCTGTTAAGTCGAATGTTATATTATTTGGTGGTTAAAAAAGGAACAATTTTCCGGTTTCAAATTTGCTACATTTGATTTGACACATGAAACATATCTTCTTTATGAAAAACTTCAATTTATTTTTTGACTTCTCTTTAACTAAACCAAGTTACAAAAAAACTTTTTGATATTTATTTGATCCGAAGACAGACATAACAATGAAATTCAGAAAATAAAAAAAAACCAGCACTTCTTTCTCTTTGTGCTAGAAAAACTCTTTTTAGTCAAACATGTCTCAGCGTGATAAACAGCTACAGCAAGACAAAACTTGCTTTTGATGCCGATGGAATTCTCGCGGAGCTACCCTACATTACATTGTTTCTGATTATTTGTATATATGTTGTTTTATGTCCAATTAGAGAATTTGTCACTCATGTATAGACGTTACCATATACCAGTGAAGAGCTTCAAATTTTGACCTTTACTAGACACCCAGGGCCACTGAGCAGTGAGGAATCTTGCTAATTTGTGCTAAATCCTATGCTTGAAAAGAAGAAAACACTTGCTGTGACCCTCAACTCGACATTTAGATATATCGACGACGTATTGTCAATTAACAATGGTAATTTCCATTGTCGATACTATATATCCTGGTGAGCTTGAGATAAAAGATACCACAGAGTCTGACACATCTGTTTCATATTTGGATATTTTACTTGAAAAAGACGTTAATGGCTCTCTTACAACCAAGCTCTGTAATAAACGTGATCACTTTAACTTTTCTATCGTCAACTTCCCTCACTTATGCAGCAAAATACCTTCATAACCTGAATATGTAGTTTATATTTTCAGTTGATTCGATACACAAGAGCATGCTCTACGTATGAACAATTACTAAAACGAGGAAAACAAACACGTTGATGAAACAACAATATCTGGGTCTCATTTAAAGTTATCATTTCGTAAGTTCTATGTTCGAAACAATTATCTTGTCAGCAAATACAATTTATCATTGAGTCGAATGCTGCCTGACGTTTATCATACTAATTGTTAATCCATAACTTATACACTAATTAACGACGGATTTTACGTTATTTCCGGATCATGACAAGAACCACATGACGGGTGTGACCGGTCGGCACGTTATCGCAAGTGCGCTGTGGGGAAAACATTGAAACAAACTTATCCGTATTTTCAAGCTTGAATACACTTACTTTGAAGTTTTACAGACCCCTGGAGTATTTTTGAAACCGATACTTGTATATATAAAATATAGCAACCCAAAGTTTTACGCATTCCATGATTTGAATGTGTTTTAATTTTTTTATATACTTTCGGAGACAACATGCATGTAAGTCATATTGGGAATAAAAACGATTTCCTTCTATTAGATCAAATTTATGCTTGCACTTGTAATTATTAATACAAATGATATCATGCACTCTAAAAACAAACATCGATAAATAATTAAATACACATGTACTTAAAGTCTACTTGCTGCTCTGTTTTGTAGTCGGTAAATGTGTTTGAGTGAAACGTGTTTGAAGTATTTTTTTCTAATACTTCTTTTGGGTCCCTTTTACTGTTATTTTATATCTAGTTGAAGGGTGTGATCCTTATTCCTATTAATTGTTAGCAATAAGTTATATGGAAAGGTTTTTTATCCCTGTTATCATGCAAATTAAGAAGAACTCTAAAGTTTTTTAAATTTAGAATATAAACAAATCATCAAGTTTAATCATGCATATGGAAAAATTTGTATTTCTATATACTTATATAGAGTATAATATGACGAAATGCAAAAAAGAAAGAAATATATTCATCAATGTAAACATGTATTACCAAAACACCTTGAACGAGCATATTCACATGTGAAATTTTACTGAACATCTTGATATTCGAAAACACACACATTTGTTCCTAACGCTTTGTAACAATTATGAACGTTTTGTATTAATATATTACTTTTCTATTTTCATGTTTTCAGGAAAAGAAATCAAGGAAATGCTTAAGTCATTTACGACTATCTTGCATGAACCATTAAAAAAACAACGACAAATTATCCTGTCAATGCGATGATTACAAAAATCTACATTATACTGTTCATATACCATGTGTATTGTTCTCAGGAAAATTCTGGAATATGCAGTCTACCTGAGTAAGAATTTCTATTAGATTTCTTTTTTAAATAAAAAAGAAAATATGTTTACAAGTATTTTTACGGTTTTGAGCGAACCAAATTGTATCTTGACAGTATATCTTATGCAAAGGTTTTTTTTCTGCACAGAGATGAAATTAAGTGCTGTACAGATTTCATGAAAAAAGGAGACACTTGTTTGCGTAATGTATTAATTCAATGCATAATTAATGTGATTTTGTCGAAGAACAGGACAGAATGTTATACCAGAAGTAGTCGCACTATTAAATCATGAAATACATTTAAAACTCTTGATCTTTAAATGATGAATGCTCATTGTCATATCCATATTGTTTAAACAGACTCCTTTGAATTATAAAAGCAATTTGATCGGGGTTAATTCTTCGTAAAAAAAATTTCCCAAACAAAATTCTATTTCAATACAATTTTATCGTCTTATCCTTTTTTAGTATCTCAGTTAATCTGTCGAAATCAAGCAGTAAATTAATATGACTTGTCTTACATGTACTTTATCCTATTTCAGCTTGTATAGGGTCATATGGACCGCAGTGTAACAAGGGATGTTTGCCTGGGTATTATGGTTTTGGCTGTAGAAAAAAATGCAGATGTGAGGAGTGTGATAGCGTGAATGGATCATGTTGTGAGTATAATTAAATCCATCTGTGTACACTTTGCTAGATGTGAAATATGGAATAAGTTTTTTGCACTTCCCTATTTGCTCACAATTCACAAATGTAATTTATCATCAAGAGCCACTAATGATATTTAAACCAACAGTTGATTTCAGTTTATTTTTGATTGTCGAAAATATCCACATGAAATGTACTAAATATAATTTCCCAGTAGACTTTAAATCAGAACCAAAAGGTAAACCGTTAGAGAGTTGGCCACTGATAATGAGTGTTGGTGTTGTTAGCATTGGATCCATAGTTGTTCTGGTCGCCATCTTCCTTGTGCGGAAACGGTATATTTTTTTAATATTCATATTCATTTGAAAGAATAAATTACAGGATAAAACTATCCCATTCCGTTAACTGTATAGTGACTAAATGACTACTGAAAGATGACTTATTGGCAGAGCTGCCATTCAGTGATTTTTCCAGGTCTTTCAGTAAATTTTGACTGAATGTTATGGGATCATTCTGTGGATGACGATTTGTACTTTTAATTTTTTTTCTTAGAGATGTATAAATCACCAAAAAAATTGTTGCATGAATTAATATCATTTTGACTGATTTTATATAGAAATGACATAAATAATAAATCCTTTAAAATATAAAGAAATTTAAAGTTTTCTTTGGTGCTCAAATATGTTACTTTTTTTTCTTTTCTGCATAATTCTATGCTTACATGTGTAATTACAAGTAGTTGTTTAAGGTCTAAGTATCTTTAGATTTTAATCTTTTAAAAAGTTTTTTAAAATATGTTTCTCTCTTCTTTTTATTTAAATGTTTTTGAACAAATTTGTGCATTTTGTGTATTTTGAAGGAAAAGGCGATAAAAAGAAGACATAATCCTGTACTGATGTCTAGGAATGACAGAAAATTTCACAATTCACTGTTTGCGTAACTTTATTTTTGAATATTATTCAGTCAATCGAGATGTAAATAAATACCTTAAGAAGTCGTGTTCATATGTTCATGGCAAGAATTACATATCAATTACTTTAATTTACTAATTTAGTTTTCTAATTTACCATTTAAAAATATTTTTTGTTATTATTGGTGTGTTTAAAACCAGGAGACGAGAAGAAGATTTTCAAAGAAATAATGCACTTAAAACTATGGAGCCTGACTCTGGAACAATGATTTTCGAAATTATGGCAGAGAACTCGATACTAATTACAATCATACCAACAGTTTGACTGCTTGATGTCCAGGCGTAAAATACGATTTTTGAAGATTGCATCAATTTTGACGGATTTATCCCTACCATTCAGGCAATAGGAAACAGGGATCATGAAAACCACAATACCCCCGTTTCAAATTTTATTGCTTTATGAATATACCGAAACTGGTTGACATTGGTTTAGATTTCAAGAAAAGAAGCCGAAAATTTTAAATGTTGACGCACGACGACGGACAGACATTGAAGAACATGCTTTGAGAACGATTAATTTCAAAACCAAGGCAGGATTCTTGAAAAAAAAATTTGATTGTATAGGGAATTCAACAATTTCTATCATTCTTATAATGACTTGGTTGCAAATATGATCCATCGCAAGGTCGTTTTGCTTTCTTTCAGAAAACTTGTCAGGCGCATGATATAATACTGAATTTGACAATGGAATATTTCGTCTACTGATCCTTTCATACGGCTCACGATGGGTTTCACTGATCACCACGGGGATACTTACTCCTTTTCAGCAAGCTAGCATTATCCCAGTTTGAAATTGGATCCATGTATTTTGCCCTCTTTACATTACATTTGCTGAGATCGATCATTGTTTACTGTCTTTACCTCTCTCATCAAGCTTATTTTTTGAGATGTAATTAATAAATTATATACAATAGACAAAATTGTTAACGCACCACTTGTTAATTCTTATTTGTAAATTGAACAATCGCCGATCGCTACTAATTTATGTAATATGACATTAGTTCCAAAACAGTGGGGTTGACAAATGTCTTGCTATCATGAAAAGACACCTGAATGACTTTCTTGTCCAAAAACCAGTTTCCAGATGTGCACTGCGCACCATTTTTGCCCAGATATGAAATTCTTGATCACTAAAGGTGGTCTGTGAGGTTGTCACAGGAGTAGTCCCCCAGTTATATACCTGTATCAGATAACAAACTGTCATTGACTCTCATATCACCTAGTAATCATTCGGTGCCTTCGTGTCCATACCAAATCCACTTAACTTCCGGTTGACCTACATGTAGTTTTAAAAGTGTGGAACAATTTTCATTTTATTGTGTACTGCTAACTTAATACCGTGGCTATCTATTGTAAACATTTTTATGCTTGCTAATTTATTTGCAACATTTTTTCAGGAGTGGAATTCACAAGCTTTGTATTGTTCTCATTGTTACAGATTTCTGTAAAGCAACCCCCTGAAGACGCCATACTGTCAAACGCCGCATACGGTGTAACTTTTTTTTCTGAAGTTTAAATAAGTATGAATGTAAAGAACTCAAATACGAAGAAAAAAAATGATTTTTTTTCTCTTCGAAAATGAAATAGAAACGATTTTATCATTTTCTTTGAATTGGTCACTCTTCAGTAAACATTGAAGTAATCTATAGGGTTGGAATTAATATGCCTCATTTTTGTTTTAAAAGTAACATATTTTAATACCAAATACATCATAAACAGGTTTTTAAACTTAAAACATTAATTCTCTTAATTAGGCGGTGCGTTAGCAATTATGTCCAGTGTAATATATAAATATTCAATAACTGTAACGATTAATTTTTTTAAAAATCTCATCGAATTCGTTGACAGAAAAAAACGCCTTTGCATTTTTGCTGCATAATTATATTTGAAATTTTAGAATGAAATATATTTTTCTTAATATATTTGTATACTTTCAAACACTTACAATTGTGCATTTCTGAATATTTTTTTTTTTGTGAAACTGCATGTAACACATATGATCAGAATAATTAATGAAATGGATATACTGTATAGTGGGAAAATAACTCGCGGTGTTACTAAATCCGTGAATTAAAAAAAACAGTGAATAAATTTTCAATAATCTACATGCTTTATTCGGAAATTTGAGAATATATAGACAATGTAGGTTTATATACATGTACGTGCAGTTCATGGCCATTTCAGTAATTTCGAGAAGTTCTTGTCATTCAATTATTTTAATTATCACGCTTTACTTTAATTCCAATCAGCAGATAATAACCTTTACTTGTTAAAGAGCTGTTTTAATAACCAACGCTATGTTTCCTCAATCAAAACTCATGGGCCATGGGTTTTGATTACCCGTTCGAAACTAATGTTACCACGTGTATTTGTTACCTGCATCATCATGCATACATGTAATAATTTATATCGACAATTTGGTTCTTAAAATCATTTAAACGACTATTGAACTTACTGAAAATGTCGCAGGATATTATTTAGTTCGTCTGACTACATTAATACATTTATTGTTGTCCAGTGGTTTTTCGCCGCGTTGTATTGAAGATCTTAGGGTGAAGCATAATATAGGAAAGTCATTTGCGTTTACAGTCAAGGGCGTTTTGAAACTCACTAGTTTTAATTAATTGTTAATTGCATGTGTTTTTTATATCTAAAAATTTTATATTAACCTACCCTGTGCTGTTGTTCGTGAAATAAAGACATTACGCTGATAAATATCGTTTAAATGTACCTATAGTATGGATTAAATGTATATAGACAAGGGAGATAACTTTTATTATGAAGCGATTCCGCGAATTCAAGAAACCGCGATCGTGTCAGATGAGAGAAAAACGTGAAAATTACAACCCGTGAAATTAATCCCCTATACAGTATAGAGATTACAAAAGTGTTCACGCTCAAGTGCGCAAACAAACAAAACAGATCAGGAGCAGAGCAAACGCGGGTCTCAGGTGCGTGGAGGAGTGAGCATCTCCTGCAAACCGGCTACGTTTGCTGTGTGCTCCTTTTCATGATGGAGAATGAACAGAAAAATCCTTCGACAATACGTGTGTGTAAGTAATGGTCTACAAATTAGAATGAAAAACGTTTACGTTAGTTAGCACTTTGCTAAATGAAAGATTGTATATGTATATGCTGAGAAGGTCATTGTATCGACCATAGTATTGACGAAATAATGGTGACTTTAAGGTCAAGATTTTTAGGAAATGAAAGATGTCAACATATTTATCAAATTTGAGAAACAAATTCCTTTAATGAGGGCTTTACAACTTTAAAATGGTCAAAACGGTGTTTCAGGGCATAATGTGTAGGTAAACAAGATGAAAAAACCATATTTGAACTGTCATTTTTAATGAAAAATTACGAAAAACAGTCATGAATATGGGATTTTTTTTTTCATATTCGACAAATGAAATGTATCCAGATTACCTACAGTCTCTCAAAAAAAAAAAACCGGTAATTTTTATGTTCATGGCCTCTTCTTTCAAATAATATCAAATTTGATTAAGGTATCTGGATTACTTTTCATATGATTTCAAATTGAATGTCATGAAAATATCATATTTTCAACATGATTCATTTAAAGTCATTAAGTACAGGAAAAAGAAAATTGATTCTGACGTCATAATGAATATACAATGTAGTACCAAAAAATTAGTCTAAAGTCATTTACTAGACCTTAAACGAGGCTGTAAATATTTTTGTTTAATTTGTTGAATCAACTGAGAGATATGAACATCGCATGCAGGTGACTAAGGTGTATTGATCAAGGTAAAGACTAATTTCAATATCGATAAAACATTATTTGTTTAAGTTTTATTGAACTAGGTAAAGACTATTTTCAATATCGATAAATTATTATTTGTTTACAAGAAGAGGAAAACAATTATGTTTATATTAATTTCAGTGCAACGATAATTTGCCTTTTCTGTAGGATGAATGTTAAGAAAATCAAATATAAATAAAATCTTTAGAATAAACGTGCACCAAAAAGAATAAATAAAAGTGTAATCAGAAGAATTTTTCAAATTGTTTCTGAGTAATCGTTCTCCGGTCTATTCCCTGCAGGATTTTCCCTGCTTTCTTCGCCATTCTGAACAATATAATTGTTAACGGCACGTGTAATATTGAGCTCAGCCTCTCTTCCATAAAACGGATAATCATAAACTGAAGGTAGAAACAAAGTATCGTTGTACCTGGACTCTCTTTGATATTTTATTCTGAAAAAGACATAGTAACAAACTATGAGAGCCTATAAAAAGACACCAATATGTAAATAATTCAAATGATTTTAATATTCTTTTAGGAAATTGTTCATGATAATTTCAATTTAAACTTTTATTTGAATTTTACATTAATTTCTTTAATGTCATTTATTCTTTATTGTTAAAAAGGCATATTTTTTTTCTTCAAAAGGTGTTTTGGTCTTATGAATTTAAGGCTGACATGCATCAATGTTGAATATAAATAAAAAGAAAAAAAGACAAGATGGAATAGACCTCCTTTGGACGAAGAGAATTGTCAAGAAGAGTCCTACTCCCAGAAATACTCCTAGGATAACGAATAAAAATTTCTCTGCAATT